TGGCCACAGTTCGCCAGCCTCGTAGTCTGCGAAGGGTCCGCAGATCACCTTCTACTTGGTCGATCCACCTTGCCCGCTGCGCGCCTCTTCTTCTTGTTCCTGTTGGGTCGCTTTCTAGAACCATTTTCACTGGGTCGTCGTGCGGCATTCTTACGACGTGCTCAGCCCACCGTAGTCGCCCAATTTTTGCAATGTGGACGATGGATGGTTCTCCCAGCAGCTGGTGCAATTCGTGGTTCATTCGCCTCCTCCATGTTCCGTCATCCATCTGCACTCCACCGTAGATGGTACGCAACACCTTCCGTTCGAAAACACCAAGGGCGGTCCTCCACGAGCATAGTCCAGGTCTCGTGGCCGTAAAGGACCACCGGTCTAATCAGCGTCTTGTAGACAGTCAACTTCGTGCGGCGGCGAATTTTATTCGACCGGAGCGTCCTCCGGAGTCCAGAGTAGGCACGATTCCCTGCCATAATGCGTCTTTGAATTTCTCTGCTGGTATCATTTTCGGCGGTCACCAGTGAGCCCAAATACACGAACTCATCGACCACCTCGATTTCGTCACCGTCAATCTGAACTCGGGGTGGGAGGCTAACATTGTCTTCCCTAGAACCTCTTCCTTTCATGTATTTTGTCTTTGATGCGTTGATGGCAAGTCCAATCCGTCTAGCTTCAGCCTTCAGTCTGATGTACGTTTCCGCCATCATCTCAAAGTTCCTTGCCATAATGTCAATGTCATCGGCGAAGCCAAGGAGCTGGATGGACTTCCTGAATATCGTGCCACTCGTGTCTATCCCAGCTCTTCTGATCACACCTTCTAACGCGATGTTGAACAGCAGACACGAAAGTCCATCACCCTGCCGTAACCCCCTTCGAGATTCAAAGGGACTCGAGAGTCTCCCCGATACTCGAACAACGCACATCACTCGATCCATCGTCGCCTTGACCAATCGCGTCAATTTATCCGGAAGTCCGTACTCGTGCATAATCTGCCATAGCTGATCTCGATCGATTGTGTCGTATGCGGATTTGAAATCGATGAACAAATGATGTATGGGCACGTTGTATTCGCGGAATTTCTGCAGAACCTGCCGAATCGCGAAAATTTGGTCCGTGGTAGCGCGGGCACCCATGAATCCCGCCTGGTATTGCCCCACGAACTCTCTTGCATATGGTGACAGACGGCGGCATAGAATTTGGGAGAGTACCTTGTAGGCGGCGCTCAGCAGTGTGATCGCGCGGTAGTTGCAGCAATCCAACTTGTCGCCCTTTTTGTAGATTGGGCATACGACACCTTCCATCCACTCCTCCGGTAATATCTCCTCCTCCCAAATCTTGGTAATTACCCAGTGCAGCGCTCTATCCAGTGCTTCACCACCGTATTTTAATAGCTCACTTGGTAGTTGATCTACACCAGTTGCTTTGTTGTTCTGCAGCCGACCGATCTCCTCCTCAACTTCTTGAAGATCGGGGGCCGGTAGCCTGTCGTCTTCTGCGCGTGCTCCAAGGTATTTTGCCGTGCCACCTTCGTTTTCTGCTGCTTCACCGTTGAGGTGCTCGTCATAGTACTGCTTCCACCTCTCAATCACCTCACACTCGTTCGTGAGAAGGTTACCGTCCAAGTCCTTGCACATATCGGCTTGCGGCACGTAGCCTTTGCGCGAACTATTTAGCTTCTCGTAGAACTTCCGTGTGTCGTTTACGCGGTACAGATTTTCCATCACCTCGCGATCTCGGTCTTCCTGCTGACGCTTCTTCCTTCGGAAAACCGAGTTTTGTCTGTTCCGCGCTTGTCTGTATCGCTCCACATTCAATCTCGTGCGGTGTTGCAGCATTCTCGCCCGTGCTGCATTCTTCTCCTCTACTAACAGCTTGAATTCGCCGTCAAACCAGTTATTTCTTCGGTCTGGGATTGCAATACCTAGTGCCGCTGCAGCAGTACTACCTATGGCTGAACGGATGTCCCTTCAGCCATCTTCAAGAGAAGCTTCGCCAAGCTACTCTTCCGTGGGTAGTGCAACTTCCAGCTGCTGCGCGTAGTCCTGGGCAACTCCGGCGTCCCGTAGTTGCTCAATCTTGGGTCGCGGCGTTCGACTTCGACGTGTGTTATGCACCGTCGAGAGTTTTGAGCGCATGCATACTGCAACTAGGTAGTGGTCCGAATCTATGTTCGCACTGCGGTACGTGCGGACGTTGATAATGTCAGAGTAGAATTTCCCGTCGATTAAAACGTGATCGATTTTGTTTTATGTGTGTTGGTCAGGTGATCTCCAGGTGGCCCTTGCGGGGGAAAAAGTTACTTCGAACTACCATACCATAGGCAAAAGTTCCAGCCCCTGATACGAAACGCAGAAAAGTTTCAAAAATGTAATCGTTTTGATATACAGAAGTACATTTTATTATACACTAGCTGAGTGTGCCCGGCCTTGCTCGGGATTCAATATTAGCTTGAGTTTTAAAAAATTAGCGCGCCAATTTAAAAAAAACATGATATCTTGTACGTAGCCCCATCTTATCTAAGGAGCTATCCACTATGATCTCCACATGCCAAATTTGGTTCCATTTACGTGATTAATTCTCGAGTTATGCAAAAATTTCTGTTTCATTTGTATGGGAGCTCCCCCCTTAAAGAGGGGGGGGGGGGGTTTCGAACCATAATAAGAACCTTTCCATGCCCCAAAAACCTCTGCATACACATTTTCACGCCGATCGGTTCAGTAGTATCCGAGTCTATAAGAGCCAGACAGACAGACAGTAATTCATTTATATATAATATATATAGATTATACATAATATATAAATAAAAGCTACATTCAGGAAGAAATCATCTATCTATGTGAAAAGCAAATAATTTTCAGTTGTGAAAGGCTCAGTGTTTGAAAATTATTGCCAATACAGGAATTTACTGCCTCTGGTATAAGTTGATTCAACAACTGTAGCATTAATAGCATCATGCGGTTATTAGTATCGTTGGTAATTTTTTGATGAATTGGGAACATATACTCATTAAAGTAATATTACAAATACAGATTAATAGATTTTTTTTCATAAAAAAAATAAAGATTGAAATGTGGCAACCCTGCTCAGGGGAGCTTGGGTGATTACGAACCCGCGTTTCAATAAAACCCTATTTTGATAACATTATTCATTCTTTAGTATTATTAGAAACTAGAAAGTTAGACTTTTTCACCAAACACACATTTTTCATGTCCATGTGTTATATTCATTGAAAAAACACGGCATACATTTAGAAGCAGTGCGAATATGACATAAATAGGTCCAACCAAAATCCATTACCCTACCGCGGGGCAAGTTGAAACGCGTGGGGCAGTTGAAACGGTAGATGTATCTCTTAGCGGAAGTGAATAATCACTGAGATTATTTCTAATATAGTAGTTTGCGGTAGTACACAATGCCTCTCAAAAATAATTACAGTGAATATTCACTTCCGCTAAGAGATACACGTACCGTTTCAACTTACCCCGGTGTACCTTAACTGTGATGCTTACTATCAAAACATTGAACAGGTGGAAAACCTGTATACGAGCTTTTGCTCTGACTTTGAAATTCAATAACTGAAACCCACTAATTTACAATTAATGTTGTACTAAGCACCTACTTATTGGAAACCAAACGTTTGATTTGAGAAAAGTCACAGTGTTCTATTTTGCATCATGCATAAGATGATGCATAATAATGTTTAGCTAGGGTTGTCCTCCAAATTGGAGAACAAAGAGGTGCTTAAACCCCGAATGATCGTTATACCCCTTCCTCCCCTATTTCGCTGACATATGAACCAACATTTTGTTTAATATTGAAAGTACCGTCTTCTGATAGGGAAAACAACTGCCTGTTGCGTTATCATAAAATACAACCTTCACTCTCTTCTCTGCTTCAGAGACCTAATTTCAAACTAATGATGGAGCTACTGAAATAACGTATTTTTTGGGAATAGTTTTATACCACTGAGGTGCAAATGAACAAAAAATGTGTGACGAAATAGTGTCAGTTCCTATTGTAGTAGACGTCGATGTCGAATTTAGTGCACATTGATCACAGCAAAATAGCTCAACATTGATAAACCCAACGTAGTTATATAGGGAAAATTCTGTCAGTTCTTAACCATTACATTAAATTTAAATATATCGTGCGCAAGATAAAGGGTTGCCTGATTATGGTAACATGAATTGTCGCGAGTTTTGAACCATAACCGAAAAAATTGAAATAGGGGAAATGGATGAAATGTCGGCCTAAATGCCCCTAATTTGGGCCAATATATAACTTCAGCAATCGACTTAATTTTCAATAGCGACCAAAAATATACATTAGTACCGTCCCAATCACGCGTTCATCTAGATAAAATTGCTAAATAGGATAAATAGGAATTTAGTCGATTTCTGAATGTATGTATGGGCCTGATAGAAAATCACTACGGGGCTCGCGAAGAAATAATTCTAGATAGAGCTGGAATTAGGGCCTAACAGCTTTTGTAAACAACGGCACACAGCACAATTTCACACTAAATTGTCAATTAATTATCACATCACTATGGAATAAACTATAACATTCGGCATTATAATCAGTCTTGAGCAACATTGTATCTGATGAAATTTCACATAAGCACAGATAGCAAGCTTTTCGTAAATCAATATGGTATGGTATGTATGATATGGTATGGCATGGTGAAGGGCTAGGACGATGAGAACAAAAAGTTATTTTTTCCCATATTAATTGCCACATCCGTTCCCTAATAATCGAAAATCGAAATAAAAAAAAGATAACCCTATTGTAAAAGTATTCCACAAATACCCCGAACACGCACGTTTTATGCTAATTTGTGCTAATGCTAATAAAAAATGTGTACCCGGATCGGGAATCAAACCCAGCCGCCTCCAGCATGGTCTTGGTTTATAGCTGCGCCTTTACCGACTGAGCTAAGGGAGGCCTCGTCAGCATATAAAGTATGATAATCTCGAAAAAATAATCTGGACATTTAAAAAAAGTTTTTATTTTTGGTAAATTCCATCAATTCTGTGTCATAATTTCCTCAATCCAGTCCAAATAATCGATCAATTTGGTATAAACTCCCGGATGACCCTTAGTGCCGCATTTATATGCACCGAAACTTACGATTCCTATCTGATAATTAACAAGTCCATGTTCGCGCATTAACGGACCACCAGAATCACCGCGGCAAGAGTCTTCGCCTTCTCTTCCTCCGATGCACAACTGATCTTCCGTAAGTTTTATTCTGTGCGACTCATAAGCCTTATCACAAACATTGTTTTTCTGTCCAGTCATTATTACATCTCTCTGAATGCCGGGTGTTTCTAAAACAAATATATATATTTTTTTTATTCCTTCACGTAGAGTACTATTATACTACCTTTATCTGTTTGTCCCCAACCTGTAACGATGAAATCTTCCTGATCGATAGGTAACTGTTTGATCATATCACTTAATGGCAGGCAGATTGGAATAACAAAATCGTTTATGACAACATCCGTCTTCGTTTTCAGTAATCCAATGTCATGTCTCATATTTGCATTATTGACCTGATATGAAGGATGAGCAAACTGTTGTGTTATTTCATACTCCTCTCTGCATATGGAAACATCATTCTTGCTAGTACAATTCGATTTTTTCGTAGTATCCCACTCATTGAACCTTACACGATTTCTGTAATTATGTAGTTAGGTATTATTTAAAGCTAGTAAAATGCTTGATTTGCTCTGTACATGCTCCAACTTCTCGGGATGCTCCTAATACAATGCGCCGCAGTCAGTACCCATCGATGGTGCACTAGCGTACATCCACAGTGTACGGAAAATTTTCTCCTGCTAACTTTGTAAACGATAACACCAGCCCACGGATACAAACCAGTTTCAGTCTCGTTACCACCGTAAATACGTCTTCCAATTTTCGCTACGCCGCATCCTTCCACATTTTGAATAAGAGGACAGCAAATCTTAAAATTCAGTTGTTCAGATATGTAGAGTAATATATTACTACGTCATAAATACCAATAATTTGAGAGAACTTCCGGGCATCTTGCCGCAACTGTTGTTTTCTATGTAGTACCATTCTTCGTTTGTAAGGTCCTCAAACGGAGATCTTAGAATTTTTATAGCGGGCTGGCAATCTCTAACTGGTATACAGCGCCCAATTTGATTACTAGTCGTTGTACAGGTGTCGTTGAGTTCACTTTTGACTAGGGAAAATCCCAAATTCAATAGAAACAGTACAATAATCAGCGAAGACATTTTAGACTAGTAACCGATCGTGTCTGCAGCTCGAATGATCAGCCTTTCAACAGATACACCAATAATCCGGTTTCTACCCATACAGAGGAAGCCGAATGTTGATAATGGGATGAGAACTACGCGATTGTTATTAATTTATTTTATTTCAGCGCTGTGTGGATTCCTGACAAATCATTATGGGATTCCCTGAGATAATGCTCTGATGTAGAGCATTTTACTTCTTAGGTTATGTAAATTCGTATGTAATGTAATATTATTCTTATTTTTAATGGAATGCCCTAGATTAGACTCAATATTTTCGTAATATTTCAAGATCAGATAAGGGTTCCATAGCACAGTATTTAGCTGTGATAGATTGTAGAAAATAAAACCTAAATACGGTGCAGTGTGGCCAGCGGCAATTTGAAAAGTAACCAGGAAAATAAGGAAAACCTGGAAAAGTCGACAACAAAACTGCAATAAACAATAAACTTTAAGCGATGTCAGTGGATTTAATCCCTGTCGGAGCCGTCGGCATTTACTGAGGCTTAAAATCTCTTCGGAAGGAAAGTAAAGTCGTTGGTCTCCGGTTCATGAGTTGATGAATCGATAGGTAGGGTCTAGGTGTGAGAGCCAGACTTGAACATGCTCATTACAGATAAAATGCTACTTTTTGACATTATGAAACTATGAAATATAATAATAATAATTTGTATATATAAGATGCAAGAAGAGGAGGTAAAGTTTGTGTATGACACATAAAACCAGTCAATTTCGCTTCCAGAATGTCACAATTATGAAGAAAATTATGCTGGTATTTGATCAATTGAAGGTCTTTAGAACAGTTCAACCGATTTTCTTGTAAGAATATCTTAGAGAATTGATTTGATTTATTGAACAAATTGAAATCTTCAGAATAATTACAAATTAACCAGAAGAATTTCTAAAATACCCAAAGAATATTATGCAGGTATTTATTCAATTGAAGGTTTTTGCAATAACTCCAGATCAAGCGACTTTCTTGCAAGAATTGATTTATTGAACAATTAAAAATCTGCAGAGTAATAGCTAATTAATCAGAAGAATGACCGAAATATCATGAGAGCATTATGCAGATGTTTGATCAATTAAAGGTCTTTTGAATAATTCCTGATCAAACTTCTTTCTTAAAGAATATCTTAGGGGCATGATTTGTCCTATTGAGCAATTAAAGATCTTCAGAATAATCACTAACCAATCAGAAGAATAGCCAAAATATCAACATGAAATTATGCAGGTATTTGATCAATTGAAGGTCTTAGGAAAAATTCCAGATCAACCGACTTTCTTACAAGAATATCTTAGATGCATGATTTGATCTACAGAACAATTTAATCTGGTTTTGTTAATCAATTGTAGGTCTTTTGAATAATTCCTGATAAACCGACTATCTTGAGAGAATATCTTTGAAAGATGATTTCATCAATTGAACAATTAGAAATCTGAATAATTACAAATCAACCAAAACAAATCAAAATATCACGAGAACAATATTCAGGTATTTGATCAATTTAAGGTCTTTGGAATAATAACATATGCGGACTTCCAAACATACCTGTGAGCTTCAAAAAAGTTCATCATGCTTCAAAACACAGATTTTAAGTGTTTTTCACATGAGTTTTGAAAACTTTTTTTCAAAAATTCAGCAAACATCACAAATATTCAATGATTGTTAAAGATGATAGGCAAACCTTTGAGAAGCTTCTCGAATTCTATAAAAAATCGCATATTAGCAGAACTTTTAAAAGTTCTAAGAAATTTTGTATGGCATTGTGAACTTCTCTGAATGTTCTAATTTTTTCTGAAGCTTCTTCGAAATTTGCAGGACTTTGCTGAAGTTTGTATTTATTTCCTAAATTTCCAAGATCGTCTTTTGAAGTTCTTAGAAGTTCTTTTAATTCTGCAGATTGTTTTTGAAGTTTGCACATTTTCTCTGGATGTTCACATAATGTTTTTTAAATTCGTATATTTTCTGTGAGGTTTGCGAAATTTCTTAGATATTTGTGAAACTTTTCTAAAATTCGTGAGCATTTAAGAAGTTCTCGAAAATATTCTATGAAATTTGTAGAACTACTTTGGCTACCTCTCTTCACATATCTTTTCCTGGAGCTTGCATGTGATCGAACTATCCGCCAAAATTCAAAATTACATACCTTGAATGTTTTCTCGTTTTTAAAACAATTTTTATATTCTGCTTCCCAGTTTTCACTAGTCGGCCAACAGATCCCAAGTAACATTTTAAGTTTTATGAAATACTACAAAGCAACTATAAAACAACATTCATAAAACCCTGGTCAAGGCTATTTTGTCATTAATGCATCCACCAAAACCTCATTAAGACTTGAATATGTCTAGTTGGCCCACCCTGGAGAAGGTTCTGAAGGGTGTATTCTCGAAGCTCTTCAAGATTGATCTACTGCAAAAGGTTGTATGACGAACGCATTGATAACCATTTCAAGCTACAATAAAAGCTATTTAGCAACAATAAAAACCCTTTCCGAGCCATGTCCCCTAGCCGCATGCTGAATCCACTAGGAAAGCATCAATCAAGATAGAAAAGGATTTATGAATTCGATCTTATCAAAATAATGAAAATAGAAACTGATGGTATAAAAATCTTGTTGAATATCCAAATTTATTACAATAGTTCTCATTAAGTGGCCTTGTTTTAAGTGCCATATTAAATTTTATGTGAAATGTACGTGAAAACATCGGAAAAATTAAGTCCACCCTCGTAAAACGTTGATTTGACTAATTATTTAACATAGAAAAAAAATATATTCTTCAGATCGAGCTTGGCCGAGACTTTCTTTTTATTATTTTCGCATTTAAATGTTTGCTCATTGCTAAATTTACCAAAATATAGTTATATCTAAGAAAATATTGATTGAAAATCGAAGATTGTAAAAAACAAGCAAACTAATTGCAACATGGCGGTGGCATAAAAGTTGATTTTCATGGGTCATTTGTGAAAAAGTTGTTTTGCTTTCAAGAATTCCTTGACAAATTAATAAGGGTTTAAAATGGCTTTTATGAAGAAAACTTGCAGGCTGAATTGTATTTATCTAAAGCCATTTTGCTTGATCCTAATCCGTTCTGATTTATGGCAGCATTTATGGAGGCAAAGTTGCCTGCAAAAAGTTAAACGTCAAAGTTTGTTTATCTTTCGATAGTTGCGCTGTGAGATCCAGGATTCTTCCAGGCGGTTTTCTCCCGATGGATTGGAAGCAGTTACTCAGATAGTTTGCGATACTGTTTTACAACATTTCGCATGTCGAACAGCTGGAAGTGCAATCGTTCCCGAAAAAGATCCCCTTCTTCCGGATGGTTACAGAAGTGCACCATCCAACGATGCAGGGATGTACGCTTGAATGAAATTTTCGAAGATTTGATTCTAAAATCGCTGCTATGGATCGGAAACCAGCTAATCTCCGCTTACGAACAGTTTCAGTGGTTTACTGTCGGTTGATACTTCGCAAGATCTGGAGAAGGCTGGTATGTGCTTTAACTTTCGACAATGTTTTATGGCACCGCTCAGTTTACTCTTCTCCGCCAGATGGTCAGTCGTTGATGGTGTGCTGATTCTTCTAAAGAAGTAAATTTTTCTGAAATTGACTTGAATTTTTCATCCTACTTCGTCTATTCTATGAGATTTCCTTGTCATAAAATTGGCATTTATTAATTATGAGGAACCATCTTTTAAGCTCAATTTGTAAACAGAGTAATTGGGGAGTTAATGATGTTTTAACTTTCGACAATGTTTTATGGCACCGCTCAGTTTACTCTTCTCCGCCAGATGGTCAGTCGTTGATGGTGTGCTGATTCTTCTAAAGAAGTAAATTTTTCTGAAATCGACTTGAATTTTTCATCCTACTTCGTCTATTCTATGAGATTTCCTTGTCATAAAATTGGCATTTATTAATTATGAGGAACCATCTTTTAAGCTCAATTTGTAAACAGAGTAATTGGGGAGTTAATGATGCACTTTAAAAAGCCTAAAAAGCAACAATAAATGCTTTTTGCTCTAATGCAAAACCAAATGATTTTATGGTTGCTTTTATAATGATAATGATAATGATATAAACGTGTTCTATAAAGTATTTTATCAAGACATTAATAAACAATTGCTAATGACGTTTATGCTTGAATTACAGAACAGTTTTAAGGAGGGATTGATAACTGTTTTAAATTTATTTTTAAAACAAGACAGTTTTTGACTTTCTTGCAAGACTACAAAAAGCTGAATTACTAAGCAGGAATGTTTTACACTTTGAAATGCTATATTTAAACTAATTGGATTGTCCATTGTCGTTATAAAACCATCATAAATCAGAGTGGATGCTAAATGGTTACTGGATTGTTACTTGGGATCCATTCAGAACGGTCACGTTTGTCTTAGTAGTGTTCGATTTTTAATAAACCGTAAAACATTTCTTGGACTTTGATAAATTATGAGAGCTCAGATAAAACAGTTATCTGAATTATTGGGAAATTGGAAACGACACTTCAAACCTATTTTTTGTCAAATTTTGTAAACAGAAATGATAAAATAATGTATTATTGAGTTATAAGAGACGGTGTCCATTCAATACACTGGTCCTTACGACATAAGAGGCGCGGATGCTAGCCTCTTCACAGCAGCATGCAAAAGCGAGTTGCGCACTCCTCCCATCTAAATAGCACCGCAGCGGACCTGCGAGTGCAATGAAATAAAAGGGATATTGATTTATTACCACTACCTACTTTTCTCCCTTCCACTTCAGGATTCGCGGATTCGGTGTCTCTCGTTGTGTGTTCCACTATAAATGAAAAATATTCAATACCGCAAAACATCTCCGCAATGATATTTTCTTTCGGCGTGATGTAATCGAAAGTTAAAAATGTATCTCATCCTTTAATATTCTAGCCAACTTCCGTGGGTATTGGACTGCAACTGCCGAACGTACGAACGAATAGGGTGTCCATAACGCATTTTAAGTAAACGTCGCAAGTTTTCATGGGTGTTTTAAATTAATAATTACGTAGAAACCATAAAACCTACAAGATTACTTCCAAAGGCATAAATATAGGAAACTGCATGGATAATGTTTTGTAGAACAAATAAATAAACAGTAATGAAAATTTTAAACGTAAAAACTCTAAAATATACGGTATTTTACCAGTTTTTGTATTGTACTTTCAACATACCAGCAGTCATTTCAAACCCTATGTTTCATGGGGATTTTTTTTTTAGGATCTCTGTCTACCCTAAAAATATATAAAACCCGGAACCAAACACCCTGTATAGCGGACTCTATTAAAATTGATTACTCCTGCAGTTTCAGAAAGTTTAATGTGTGAGCGTTCATAATCATATAATCATATAAACACAAGTTATTATTGTTCCATAAATTCACTGTTTTTTAACGGCTTCTAATCTGCGATCCTGAAATGGTCAACTTTGGAGGCATATTTCATTATGATACTATTTTTCTGTTGCCCGGTCCATGGGTTCATGGGTCGATAGGTAAGGTCCAGGTGTGGGAGCTGCCTCCTTGGCGTCGGTAGCATTGTAACAACAAGATCTACGGAAAACAAACCACGGAAAAAAAATGTTGAATTTTTATTCATGAATCAAGAAATTATGGACAATAAGCTACCGTAAACCACCATAATTCTGCGTAGTTAAGAAAAATGTAATGTGATGAAAAAGTTTTGAAGCGATAAACTTGTTCTACCAAAAAGCAGTGTTGCTGAAGTTGTATACAAGAAAAATATAGAACTACCAATTCCTCTGATAAACTCTACTCTAAATAATAATTCTTCCGTATGTCCGCGCATTTAAAAAGGGAGAATCCTATTTCTGCGCACTTTTAAAATCGTTATAATTGTTGAATATTTGTGTATCGGAATCCAATGGCTCATCTAAGGGGATATAGGATAATGGGAGGGAAGGTTATAGGGTAACTGGATGCGAGACTATAGGCCAACGAGATAATAAAGAAAAAAACATTTTTAGGTTTTTTTTTATTTTTTTTATTTGTTCTAAATTCAAAATTAATTACATTTAATTTTAACCTAGGTGCTCCAGCTACTACAGTAACTTATCAGACTTAATTCTTATCTTCTTCTTTCCTTTATTTAACGTCGGTCTCTGTTCCGCAATCTAGTGCCAATCACCGACGGAGCCTTAATTGTTATGATATATATCTAAGTGTGTTTACATTGTTCCTGCCTTGGCAATTCAGTATTTTAAACAGGTTTTTTAAACCTGCATGTCAGTATAACAATTGACATTTTAAAACTAAAGCTAAATCTTCTCTAAGTATAATGGGAACGATACGCAATTGAGGATTGCAACTATTTTTGTCTGAAATTATTAATTATTTTGTTGGATATTTATTCTAAAGTATCAACATACGAAATTCTATGTACACTGGAGTCGCTTTTTACACGGTTTTTTTACGCGGTTTTCAGAATTTACACGGTTTCTTTACGCGGATTTCGGAATTTACGCGATTTTTTACGCGGATTTTGGTTTTTTTTACGCGGATTTAAGAATTTACGCGGTTTTTCGTTATACACTAGAGTCGCTTTTTACGCGGTTTTTTTTACGTTGATTTCGGAATTTACGTGTTTTTTTACGCGGATTCCGGAATTTACGCGGTTTTTTTTTACGCGGCATGTATCACTCGCGTAAAAAGCGACTCCAGTGTACATACGTCGGTAGTACTGTATCAGGGAGGCAACTTCAATATCATCTTCAGAGCTTTGTTCTGAATCCTTTGAAATGCTTTCTTCCTGGGAGTGCAACGACTAGTTCAATTTTGATCTAATTTCATAATATAGAGTGGAAAATAAATCTTTTACAATTTAGCAATCAAACCTTCATGCCAAACACTGTCGAATGCTGTTTCTATATTTAGAAGAGCAACTCCAGTTGACCAGCCTTCAGATTGGTTTGAACGAATTTAATTGGTAACTCTTAAGAGTTGATAAGTAGTTGAATAACCATGCCGAAATCCAAAATGCTTATCTGCAAAAATTGAGTTTGTATTGATGTAAAGCATCATTCTATTCAAAATCTTTTCAAATCTTTACAAATATTTAAAAAAAAAATTACTTATTGATGAAAGCAAACTTATTGGACGGTAGCTAGAAGCTTCAGCTGGTTTTTATCCGGTCTCAAAATTGGAACAACTTTTTCATTTTTCCATTTATCAGGACAGTATACCAAATGGAAACATCTGTAAAATAGTTTTAGCTTACATTTAAGTTATAGATCTTACTTCGTCCAAATCAGTCGCTCTCGAATCATCAAAAATATTTTCCCGAGAGAAAATATTCAGATAATTCCAAGCAACCTGATTCTCAGTAGAGCTAGGGAGTTGAAATTTTTTTCATAAAAATTGTGATCTTCCAAAATGGTTTGCAACTCGGCGAGGGTAAAATTTCGAAACATTATTTTCAAAAGGAGAGAATCGCTTTTTAATTTGTTTTTGCAAATCCTGCCAGATAAATTTCATGGCAGGATCGCGTGTTTTTTTATATTGCTGCCTACGGACATTTTTTAGACGGACCAAGAGCTGAAGGTCGTCGTCTATTATAATTTAATCGAATTTAACCTCGCATTTTATGTACTGAGGCAGCTCTTCTATATATAGAAGTAGTTAGAGATTGTAGAGCATAATTAACTTCATCTTTGGTTTGCAAAGGAATGTTAATGCTATTCAAACTGGAGTAAAATTTGCGAACAATATAGCGATGGCTTTTAAATTCAGTAATATATTTTAAATCAATTAACATTTTGAATTGGAACCTCCATCTTTTAAAGATAATCACCCCTATTCTGTATTTCGTTTCGAACGAAATTCTCATACAAAAAAATATTTTTTTGTATGAGCATTTCGTTCGAAACGAAATACAGAATAGGGGTGAATGAAGACAAGCTATTTAATTTTTTGAGAGTTCATATCGTGCATATCGTCGTTATAACTGAAACTTTCCTTAAACCTGATCGTAAGGTTAAAAGGGACCCAAATTATGTTATTCATCGAAATGATCGTCTTGATGGAGCCGGTGGTATCAAACATCTAATTCTTTCCACATTGGAAACCAAAGTTTTTGAAACTTAATTTGGACAACATACGTTTATAGCTCCTATTTGCCATTCCAATGCGTAGGCCAGCAAAAGAATTTTCTCAAGGGTGACCTTCAGAAACTTACCCGTCATAGGTCTAAATTCTTCATTATAGGTGATTTTAATGCAAAACACCGCTCATGGAATAATGCTCAAAGCAATTCCAATGGTAATATTCTGTTTGATGATTGTTCTGCAGGTTGTTACACTATTCAATAGCAGAACAGCCCAACATGCTTTTCTTCAGCAAGAAATCACTCAACTATTGATTTGGTCTTAACTGATTCATGTCAACTGATTACTGACTGGTTCACGGATATTAATGGATTCATTGTTTTCCCACTAATATGTTCCCCTCTTGCTTGCACTTTTTCGATTTAGATGGTGCAGTAGTGTGCGCTGATTAAACGTCAAAATGCTCCATAATGGGAACCTAGCGCCTATGTTCAGATAGACAGATCGTGCGTTCTAAATTTATCGCCTCTTTCTTTCCTAAGTTGTTCTTATGGAACGTTTGCGTGACATCACAACAACATTCTATAAGAGTAACAAGAAAAAATACATTTAAAATTCATTTTGCAACACCCGATTTTTTCCGCTCTTCCTGGCAAGATGACACTAATTTTCCTCTTAGCCGCTTAGATCTCTGCGTTGCGCGTTGCTCCATTTTCACTTTTTTTTTCAAGTTAACACTCACCCGACCCGTACACTCAAAAAATTTATCACATATCTAATGGATGAAAACCATGTGAATTTCACATAGCTTTCATGTGATCACATAGCTAAAAATCTCACCACAAAATCACATGAATACTATGAGGCCAATGAAATTCATATGAAAAATCATATAAAATTAACGTGATTGCATAAATTTTATGTGAAATTCAGATGAATTCCATTAATTTTGTTTATGGATGAAAATCATTTACGATTCCAATGGAAGCTACATGAAAACTATTTTCGGTGTAGCAGACCAGTAGATAAAGACATTTGAGAACACTGAAAATATCATAATGACAGAAAGCATAGCCAATGAACTCACGGTTGATTCAAAACCCGTGCGGGTGTGAGTGTTATAAATAGAGTGACAGAAAATCTCACGTGAGTTTTTATTATGACCATGAGTTCATAATAAAGCGAGTTTTTCTATCATTTGAGATTGTAAGGATTGATGTGTTGAGTGAGTTACCATTGCATATCACAAGTGATAGCGGATCTATTGTAAGAGCAAATTGATATTTTTTGTATCATGAGTGGAACAACACTGTAGTGTGTATGATTTATTATAAAGTGAGGTGATGGTTACAGTAGGGGTCCGATTTTGGCAGCACATCATTTTTCACTATAAAGCTACAATTTTTCATAATTGCAAACCTAAGTATCTGATCATGGCTTCACATTTACCCAGAAAATCTATTAAACATATTAAGTAAGGTTTGAAGTTTTTAAGTGATGAGAATAATCAAAATTAATTAATTTATTCTACAGTATGGATCCGATTTTGGTAACATGTCTCCAATGTCAGAGACATGTTGCCAAAATGGGACCCATACTGTATGCATAAATTAATTAATTAATTCTACCGATAAGATTGAAAGCTAAAAATAATTGCATAAATAAATAAAGGCAGTAATATCAAGTAATTAGCGTTGAATGTAAAAGTTTTCCTTCAGCTCTAATGTTTTATTGCTGCTCTACGTTCTTTTCATTAAAAAAAAAGCAGCATTACGATGTATTTTTTTAATCTTCTTCGGATTCGACATCCGTGCAGTGGCTTTTGTTAACATCTTGTTCTATCCACTTTAAATATTTAGCAACGTTTGTATAAATTCCAGGGAATCCTTCCGAGCCGCAGAATCTGTTTCCAAAGCTGACGACTCCCGTTTGATACCAAACACTATTAACAAGTCTCATCAATGGTCCACCGGAATCACCTTTGCATGAATCTTTACCCTTCTCTCCGCCCACGCAAATTTGCGTATCAGCCAGTGTAATGTTTGCAATTGAAAATTTTTCGTTGCATACTTCGAGAGATTTACCTATGATATCAACGTGTAGTTGAGTGCCACTTCGCACAGCTGTAAAATGAATATGGGTTATTCATGTGTAGTGGTATTTATCAGTAAACAACTCATCATCATACCTGTTTCTGTTTGACCCCATCCGGTAACAGTAAAATCTTCGTCATCGATAGGCAGATTCCGGATAGTTTCGTCAAAAGGAAGACAGATTGGTCGGACATACTTGCTGAACTGGACATCTCTTGCTAGTTTCAACAGAGTAATGTCATGAACTTTGTTTCTAACCGTTTTGTTATATTCTGGATGAACAATAATTTCTTCAACTTCATACTCCTGTCGGCAGATTTCCTCATTTTCATTTACAATTGTACAGTTTTCCTTACTAATAGCATCCCACTCACTGAATCGTACGTATCGTCTAAAATAGGAATAATTATTATAAAGATCTAGTCAATTTAGCGTTGCAATCCCTCACAATTTCCATCGCTTTGGAATATCCTCAATGCAGTGTGCAGCAGTCAGCACATAACGTGAATTTAGTAGCGATCCTCCGCATTTCGGCACTAGAGTGTTGTTTTCTAAACGAATCAAATGTATATGATGAGCAATTAAACCTATAAATTTATTAATTTACCGTAAATGTCGTAAATGAGTAGAGCAGCCCATGGATGTTCCTCAAGTTTCGTGGGTTCTCCTCCAAAAATTCGGTTGGTTAAATCAATGACACCACATTCTTTCGGATTGAGCAGTGCTGGACAGCATGTCTACAATATTGAACCATATGTAAGAATTGTGAATACAATTATATAATTGAAGGGTATACCAGTGGAACAGGTGGTGGTCCCGGATGAGTTCCACACTTACTGTTTTCCAAGTATAGAGAATCCTCATATGTTGCATCTTCCTTACGCACAATTTGGAGAGAAAAATCACAATTTCTCACCGATACACATTTACCGGGTTTATTACACGGAGTGATACAGTCATCATTGATATTCAAACCTGACACCAGAGAGGCACAAATTACACAAATTACTGCTATTACTATCAACTTCATTTTTGATGTTTTACTTCATCAAACTGTGGCGAATGGACTCCTCTCGACTGATGAAGTTTCTCCGATGATACAGAATGAAAGTTTCTCCGATGATGCAGAAGAAACCGTATGAGCAACAAAAAGACCGATTACGCTGGAAATCCCCGCAGGAAGATCAATCCCCTTACAGTACAGTGAACAGTTAAATAATGGTTTATACTATGTGTCAGACTTCTCTTTTCTTAAACCACGATTACACAAAAGTCTGGAAAATAAAAAATAAAACTCTTATCATTTCAATGCTTATTAAAAACTGAACGTTACTAAATTTCATAACGATTCAACCAACACGAATTACGGATGGTTGTAAATATACAAATTGTTCGTACGTATTCATAACTGAAACTGGTTTGAAATATGTACGCTCACTCGATTTTCTTCTCTTTGCCTATGCCACAAGTATGATCAACCCGGTCAAAAAAGTCGTTGGACTAGGTATTTGATAAGTGCTAGTATTTTTGCTGCGTGTTCTCTTCATTACTGCTTTCAAGTGAGATTCTCAACTCATCGGGGGGCATTTAGTTTTAGTTGATTCGGCCTAGAAAGGAATAAAATATTCCAAGTACAAAAGATGCTAAAAATATTAGTTAATTGTTACATTATATTGCCGGTAGACGCTTCCCGAGCAGAGAATGAAAACAAAATTAAAACTAAATTTGATATTTTGATAGCATATTTTGCCTGCCGTGCGGTCGAGTTAACAGTAATCATAACAAAAATTAGATCTAAATGGTGTATGAAGGATATTAGAAAGATAACAAACCATGTTTTCTTGATGACACGTTTTGATATCAGTAATTTCATTGATTATAAACAAAATAAGTAATCAATATGCTATTATAAGGAAAACAATAAATAAAATAAAACTAAATTAGTATTACTTTGATATCATGATATCAAATTTAATAACCTGAATGTTTTGAAATCTATTGGTTGAGATTAAGATTCAAAACCCGAAAAATTTTATCAATAAGTTTTCATCTATTCAAAATAAAAACAAACCTATATTTCAATCAGTTATATCGATATCTATCAGTTATATTGATTTGTTAATTCAATGTGCAGGTAGATTAATATCAATAAATGTTGTAAAATATAACTAAAAATCATAATTGTCGTTGGGAGTGATAAATGTAGATTCTTTTTTCATAAATTATCAAATTTTGTTTATATATACAGCAATTCCATAGAAAAAAGTTATAGTGGGTCTCAGAATTTCATGAAAATTGGTATAGTTCTTCCTTATCAAAAAATATTAGACTCGTATTTTTTATTGCGCCATTAGGGTGACCATTTCCGTGTTAGGGTGGTCCAAAAAATCATTTTTTTCAAAAATGTCTTTTTTCAAAAATTTATAACTTCTGAACGTCTTGACCGATTTTTACGATTGACCCTTCAAATGAAAGATGTTTTAATGTAGTTTTAAGAAAAAATATGAAACACTCAGAGATATTTGATTTTGTAGGAAAAAAATATGTTACAAATGCTTTTTCTTGATTTTTACTGCGAGGGTCTTCAACAACTTCTTATTTTAGTATTTTTAATTGAAAGATCATTTAATTTTACATAACATATCAAAAAATTAGCGATGTCGGAGAAGCAGTTTTGGAGATATAATTTTTTTTAAATAAAACATTATTGTTCCGCAATATATGCACCACACGTGCATGGAAACGATGAAGACGCAAGGTAGTTCACAATGCGTCTCCATCGAGTCACAGCAGCTGTGACTAATGAAATCTATGAGTAACTTACAAGCTGGGTGCAACATTCAGTTCAGCCTGGAGGCTGTCCATAAACCACGTAGAGCAATTTTTAAACATTGCAGATCCTACCTTTCCCTTCGTATACTCAAATTTTAAAGCGTTTCGTTTCAATACTCCTCCCATAGGGCCTTTTCCATGACAAGTTGCGAAAAAATGCCACACGGCAGCAATGCCAAAAATTTTTTGCATGTTGCATCAGTACCTAAGAGTCCAAGCTGTACCTCATAGGTATATCACTCGTTCGTAGGCAATGACTTTTACATAAGCTCCAGCCCAATAGGCTTCGCGGTGTTAGTGACATTTGGAAATGTTTGGTGGTGTTTTCAATTAAAAATACTAAAATAAGAAGTTGTTGAATACCCTCGCAGTGAAAATCAAGGAAAAGCATTTGTAACATATTTTTTTTCCTACAAAATCAAATATCTCTGAGTGTTTCATAATTTTTCTTAAAACTACATTAAAACATCTTTCATTTGAAGGGTCAATCGTAAAAATCGGTCAAAACGTTCAGAAGTTATAAATTTTTGAAAAAAGACATTTTTGAAAAAAAAAATGATTTTTTGGACCACCCTAACACGGAAATGGTCACCCTAATGGCGCAATAAAAAATACGAGTCTAATATTTTTTGATAAGGAAGAACTATACCAATTTTCATGAAATTCTGAGACCCACTATAACTTTTTTCTATGGAATTGCTGTTTATATATATTTTAGAAATATGAATATGAATTCAACCGAAAATAAAAATATTTTTAATATGATCAAATATCATAAATATAAATATCAAAATATGTCATCAACATGATTTTAAAAACATTATTTGATATCATTTTGATAGCATTTTGATATCCGACTTTACTCGGGTTAACTGTCCCATGGTGTGAATCAGGCTCCGATGCTCCGGTCTAATGCTGATTACGGCACTTAAAACGTTTGAGATCAAAGACACTTCGAAAATACTGTACTACTATACTACGTTTGTAATGTATCGTATTGTATTGTATTGTGAAAAGATATGGGGTTTTTACGCCAATTTAAACGGCTTTTCCCCATCATATTAATAATTTCATTAAGACAACACAATGAATAATAAATAAATATTATATGGAAGATACATAAAACACGGGACAGTTAATGCGTGCACCCCCAGTGTGGATAGCGGTATTTTATTTTTTTGGTCTAAGGTATATAATGGATTTACTCGCTGCTAAAATTAAATGTTCCATCCACGATAAGATTGTTTAAGTCCTACGGTGGATAATCCAGAAAAAGTGCATATTAAATTACAGAAATTACATATGGCAGTTCCACGCCAAAGGAACAATTCTCGATAGAGCTGGAATTAAGGCCTAACAGCTTTTGTTAACAATGACTTCTAGACAGTCAAGGCTCGTCTATGCAAATCAACATCCCCATCGGGTAGGGGAAGGCTTCCCCTACTTGATGGTTATGTTGGTTTGTGTAGGCGTGCCTTCAATTCCTCGAAAACATCGAGAGAAGTCATTGTTTACAAAAGCTGTTACGCCCTAATTCCAGCTCTATCTAGAATTGACCAGCCACAACCTCCTCTCATTTGCATGCAACTTTGAATTATTTTGACGTAGACTACGTCTTACGGAAAGGTACCGGGGGTAAATCGAAAATCTAAAATTGCTACCGTCACGAAAAAGTGTAAGGTTTTGAACGGATTTATAGATGAAATTAAAATCCAAATTCACCAATCGATAGAAAATAACTTTCATAATCTACATAATGCTACAATAAACGCTTTTTTTCAATTTTCCATAAATAACTGTTGTAAAATGTACAAATAAAAAGTGATAATGTTATCACTGTTTTCATTAAATAAACGGTATCCCCAAACCCAGTCGTCATAATCGAGTACCATTTGGTTGCACATCGTGCTGCTTAAATCTGAAAAGTTATAAAACAGCGTTGCTTTCAGAACATTTTAGCTTGAAATCCCTCCATTTAATTCTCGGTACATCTCTTATTATACATTATACATCTTATATTATGATTAAATTAAAAAAATACTAAATATTAATTTATTAAGATTTCGTGCGTTTTGTGAACGCAAATTCATTATTTTGCATAAGGAAACGGGGTGTTTCTGTGGTGGGAAAAAAGGATTTCCCTACACAGATTATAGATTTCTATAATATATTTATGCTTTTAGACAGGCTATGAAAGTCCACTTGGAAAATTATGCTGTAGAACGGTTTATAAAATCCTAGATTTTTTGCTGATGGGGGCGGGCATAGCGAGCCTTTCGATTGCAATGCTTATCTCTTAGCATAGATAGAGGGACCGTCGAGATTTTTTCAGGGCTAGGTACTGAAATTCTACAGTGATCGATTCTCTTCATCGATTTGCTCTTTATATTGCTACAGCTAAGTGAAACAATTCAAGCTGAACATTGCATTAGGTCCTAATGAACATTGACAAGAATAAGATTCTCTTCGTCGACTTTCTCCTTGTATCTCCTCGGCCATGTATAAAATAAGCTAGCATCTAATACGACAAACACAACAAGAAACGCAATGTTCAGGTTGAATATTATCTGATTTTTTTTTTCAATGTTACAGGTTGTATTGGCTATCAAAAGCAACAGCAAACGCACCAAGAAATGTTAATCCAAGCGAGTTATTAACAAAAGAGAACATAGATCATCGCGGTTACGTCCTTATGTATGCTCACTGTCGAATTTGTAATCTGTGATAGATATGGAAGTCACTTTTTTCCCACCCGTGTTCTTATGCCGCGAACAAAATCTTTAAAAAAACAGCAATATTTAGTAATTTATTTTTGCTCCATCGGTAGATAGAAGATGTACCGAGAACTTATTGGAGGGATTTATGGCTAATAGAGATATTCCCGATCAACTACGAAATGTTGCATTACATTGGTGCAAAATAGTGCACTCCGTTTTTGTGTGTCCATTTTTTTAGCGTTTTGAGAAGTTGAATCGCTGTGGAAACCTTATTTCTGATCAATCTCATTACCAGTGTTGGCAAAATCAGAAATCAATTGATATTTTGCCGCTCACATGCGCTCGCAATATCACGCGTGCTATTGGAACAAAATATCATGCTTGATATTGATTTTACAAGCTCCTGGAACATGGTTATTACGTCAAGCTATAATGACGTTGTCACGTTTTTATATTTTTCTTTCAAAATTTAGGCTCTTCTACACATATCAAAAAATCAGCGATGTATTTTTCTTCGTTTTTGAGTTACGATTTTTTTTAAATTACCATGTTTAGAAATTTCGCTCATTACTCCAATACGACTAGATTACCCTGCGTCTCCATTGATACATATCGAATGTAACATGGTTACATTACTTACT